ATAGGTATTTACGAGTTGGTAAACAACAGTTTTTTTCATGAAATATTTGGTGGAGGACTTGCTAACAGTTTGCGCTAGTTGTGCGTTTACTAATGTTCCAGAAAACAGTGTAGACTAGATCAAGATGTCGGTTTGTGTTCTAAAAAATTTCAACTTCGTTTAAAGATCAAAATATGGAAAGTTGTTTACAAGAACCCAAACGGGAAGATCTAACAGCACTTGTCCTTCTCCTATCTAAACAATGGCCTCCACATACTCGGTCATTTGCCCACGGACATGATCTGTTCTGAGAAGCGTACAGGAGCAGATGTTGGATGCTAGAAGGAACAGATAATGTCCAAGGTTAAATATAAGAAAAAGTATCCCAGCGCTCTTTTACGTCATATCAAGCACGCGAACGCACTTGTTAAGAGAAATTTTTACCTCATCAGAAAGTTGTTGCCATATTAATGCCTCAAAGAACGCAGGATGAAGGGATTGAATTACTTCATCCGGCGTTCTCTGAGTATACTTCGAATGGTATTCCTTTAGTTTCTCTCTCAATGGAAACTTGCTAGCGATTTTTTGTTCATCTTCGAAGGCCATTTACTACAAGTAACGAGACGAGTATGATTTCAGTCATCCATCATAATAAAGCCTGCAATTGTTTCTCTCGACAATTATGCTCGTGGAGTAAGAGAATATTTTTAAAACGGTCAGCGTGTCATTTGACACGGTTAACGTGCTGCTTTACTAATTTGAACTAAATGCCCTCTTGCAAGCTGGCGTGAGATTTAACATTTAAAACTCCGCTTTTTTCTTTTGACATGTGGTCTTGTTTTCATCATGCCATACATACTGAAAAAAAAAACAGCTGTGTAATTGGACACACTGCGTAGGAGCCGCCGTTTCTTTTCACTCACTGCCTTCCGGTTTCACATGCTTTACCGTGCGCGTGCGTTCACCTTATTACATATTTTCCAGCAGATAGTAACATTTATAAACCTTTCCGTGAATTCCAGGAAATTTCCGGAAACTAAAAGATCAGCAATGCGAGTGTCCAGTGCCTTGTAGTACGACCTCATTCAGGCCTATCCTGTCATATGCTGCTTTTCCAAGTGATGAATACATCAAACAATCACATGAATTATATGAGATCTACGGCTCCAACACGTCAGAGGCTAGTCTTGACTTTATCCAAGGATACATGAGGTTTGTGTCATTAATGAGTCCAGGAAAAATAAGATAACAGGACTTGAGAGAAAACATTATATACGAAAAAGGATGATTAATTTGTTATCACTTTGTCGAGCATTGTAGCGCATTTTGCGGGCTAAATTGGAGATTCTGGTGGGCTAAAATGTATCTTAGCCCACTCGCACGCTCGCGTGATTGTTCAGACTGTTTTGTTGTCATTTGTTCCGTTTTTTATTTTCTCAATGCCCTCCAAAGTGATGATAATAATGATCCATTTTATTTTCTTAAGCATGAAATATGTTTTGGTCCCCTCTCAGAGTCATTTTAATCTTCAGCTGGAGGCTCGCCGCTAAAATGACTCAGAGGTGGATCCGAAACATACTTATGTCTGCGATTATAAACTATGTTTTTAAGGAGAGTTAAAAGCACATTCTCCCAAACTTGGTGCGTGGGAAGTTTCGGACGCATTCTCTATTTTAATGATAAGTTCGCTTTTGTTAACTCCATAGCCAGAACATGTTGGAACTTGTGATTTATTTTGAAGAATTAAGTTATCATGTCATTGAACAGACACCAGCCTATGATTCCGAAAGCCTTTTTGGTAAGTGAGTTCAATAATTAGAATAGGAATGCCTTGTTTGAAAATTTAATATCCACAAGGTTATTAACCCAAACTAGACATGATAATATACCTCTACTAGGACGACGGAAACTGTGTTAAGTTTGAAATTTTTGTATTTTTTTTCAATATGTAACAATATGTATCAATATGTTTCAATGTGTTGGAAACCCAAAATTTCCGATTGCAGACATGTATGCTTTCTTTCTTTTTCTTTCTGGGGAGCTAAGGAACTTTATATCTACTGCGACGTGTGAAAAATTTCCTTAAACATAGATAAGAAACTGGTATATATTTCTTTGGTAGTAGACTGAGAAAGTGTGATGACGGTCACGAATGACAGAAATTGTCAAAGATGGAAAACTGCAAACTATAATAAGATCCAGACTGATTTTTTCAACATGGTCGAACAGCGAAACATCTTCTTTAAAACCGGTGAATTAAAGACGACACCTTGAAAACAACAAAAAAATGAAATTACTTTACCATGAGGAGATTCTGGGTAAGTGTAACATTAACTTTATCTTTTTCACAGCCGAAATCGGTGGTCAAGTCGGGCTTTGTGTCGGTGCCAGTCTTCTTACCGTGCTTGAATTTTGTGACGTCATAATCGCCATCATTGGAATACGCTTTGGATTCCGCTAAGCATGCGCAAAGGTGTAAAGTTGGATGTGTGAAGAATCCCAGTAATGGTAATTTTAAGTTATATAGAATAATTCAAACTTTGAAATGTAATAGCGTCATCACATTACATGGTTCTGAAAGCCAAGTTTATATTGCAGACATGACGCAGGCAGCATGCAGTGATAGTGCATGCACCTGCACAATAAAGCATTTATTTACAGCGCATTCATTCTGTTTTATTTACTGTATTTACTGACCTGGGAAATACCGTAAGGCCGACGGCTCACGACTGTCCTTCAGCAAACAGTAACTCGACCAGATTTGTGAGCAGTTTTTTACATCACTCCAGTTTACCTCCAGTTTATTCAAAAGTTGTGCCTTCCTTGGTCACTTGACGCCCGTCATAGTGACATGGCCGAAATTGTAATAGCGACTTCATTTAAATGCTTTATCTCAACCCCTTCCATACTTACTTCTTTTAATAACTATCTCATTGCTGACGCAATGGTCCAATTTGATGTTCATTTAGTACGTAGCTAGCTCAGGTACATGTCTAAGTTGGGACTAATTGGCTACACAGCGGAAATGGCACAGAAATAATTTATCAATGAAGTAAGCCAATTGATAATCTACAGCTGTATTTATAGGCGAAAATTAAGGGAAATGATTACAGAGTCAGTTTATTTGGAAACCTGGATACTGGTTTACCAATCTTAAGAAAACGTGAGATCCCAAGCTGTTCGTGACAAGCAGCAAAAATAATGAGATCTGAAAGACCTTGCAAACGTTCGACGAACTGTTTTTCCTAAAAACTACGCACGTACCCACCTACGCACCCATAATCCGTCGTACAATGGAGCGAATGTTACCGAAGAAATTATCGATGAGTTTCGGTTTTGCGGTTCTGCGGTTTTACCTTATGTCAAAGGTCTTTCCGAACAACTTCGCCGTTGCCTACAACAACAAGGCGTACGCGCTGTTTTCAAGTCGGAGACTACGCTAAGATCTCAGTTAGTACGACCAAAAGACGCTGTCGACCCGGCTAAACAAGATGGCGTAGTTTACAGGATTCCCTGTGAATGTGGCAAGACCTTTGCAAGACAGAATTAAGGAGCATGATCGAGACATTCGACTCGCACGTACCGGCACCTCAGAGCATGCCCACAACACCGGACACAAGCCACTCTGGAACGAGGTAAAGTTTATTGATCGTGACCCTTATTACTACACGCGCAGAGTCAAAGAGGCAATTCATATAAGACTTCACCCTAACAACATCAACAGGGATAGTGGAATAGAAATTCCAGAAGCGTGGATGCCCACGATCAAAAAACACAACAACAGGAGAGCCGTGCGACAGCGGACCGCCGAGGGAGCAAATCACTGATCAGCAAGGATCAAAATGCACCAATCAGAGATGTTGAAAAACAACAAATCACAGCAACTTGTTTTTTTCAAGTGATTGTATCTTGGTCAACGGTTACGAGAGGGGAAGCCATTTTGTTGCTCTTTGACAACTTAGGAGTAAACGTTTCTAAGCTAACTATCAACGAGCTAGCCAATATTGCGGACGTAAAGAGCACTATCAACTTGAATTGCTCATACTAATAATTAACGTTATCATAGTTAGCCATACAATCAGAGCGCGTGTTAATATATATCGCCTGCTAACAGCAGCCTTACATATGAAAATGCGTGTATGTTGATATTTTATTTCGCGATTAGATTTTATGAAATCAAAAGGCCGCTATTTTCTTCTCCCTTCCAATTTATCCCCTTTGTCAGGTTTTTTCCCAGGTTTTTTTAGACCTGAGTAAATGATGCTTCCGAGAAAAATGGCTTTAGTGAGATTTAAAACAGAAGCAGTAAAAATATTCATGGAAGAATTTTCATGGCAATGCACAATTTTTCGTCCAATAAGCTTCTTAAAGTCTCATCGGAAAGGAACCCTTAGGATATTCCTGTACTGTTATACACGAGATATCCATGATTATCCGCAGAGGCAACGCCATTTCAGAACTTCCCCAGAAAGCCCATTCCTTAGTTCTAATGGTTTGATATCGGAGCTAACTTCACTGATATTAGGAGATATTCCTCCGACTGGATGTACTATCTTTCGTTTCGTTTTCTCACATGCAGATTAGTGGTCGAGCTCACTGAAAAAGGTTATAATGATGGAGACAAATTCTCCCGATGCAAATCAAAAATGCGTATGAATAATGGATTAAGGTTTTTCAAAGTTGCATGCCATACTTCGAGTTAACCAGTTCATATTCAGGAAGAGAATTAGAAATTAATAACTCACGAGTGAGCTCAGCGAATTAAACACGAGAGGAGAAATTCCATATCATTTTGTTTATTATATAAAACACAAGAGTCCTTTACTGACAAGAACATTATGAATGATTAAATTATCTGACTTTATGTCGACATAAGCGGAATCAAAATGTTGTTGCGGAGTTTTCAATTTTTTTTTTTACTTTAACTTGACTTAAAAAAATCCACCTTCTTTCTGAAACCTGCGTTTAAGATTGATTACCGAAAGAGCTTAACTTTTAATCACTGTCAACTTTTAATCACTTAATGTTTCGGATTATTACAGTCTAACATCATTCTCGGTGTGTCGGCAACTTTCCTCCCCAGGGAATAGATTCACCAATGGCCAACCTCGTGGAGTAAGGTGTTTCTCCACTTGCGAAACACTCATTTCAGTCTGGTTTAGGCAGTTGGAATCCTTCGCATTGTTGGTCATGACTGCAAAGGACTCTGCTCGGTTGTCTTTTGTATGGTTGGAATCCCTCCACACACAGCACCCTGCAGTCCAGAGTGCACGGGGGATCGCAAGTTTTACATCGTCAAGGAAGACTTCAGAATGGAATACGTTGACGTTCCCATTGTCCGCAATGATTCCTTCCATGTCATATTCGGAGGTTCCGGTCAATAGATACAAAGTTCCATTGCGAGCACGACTTCCACAGGTCTCCTTAGCGTAGCGACGAATGTTCGCTTCGAAAATCTTCCAAGGTCCGCTGTTAGATGCAATATATTGTGGCACCGCATTGGTGAGGGTGAATGTTGCCTCTAAACTGTTTATATCGAATGTATTTATGGCTGTGGGATTCATGTGGCCCTTGCTAAGAGGCTCTCGTCGGGTCAGTTTCCTGTACGTGCCATATAAGCCAGGAACACCTAAGAAGAGAGAAAAGCGTCTGATCAGAAAAAAATTTACTCAAGTCTCACCCAAAATTACTGCTGCAAAGCCTTTTACATAGATACCAAAAAAGGATCACCGGTTCGACTTTTCTCAGTAGCGCCTTCTTGAAAAAAATGGTGATCCAAAATTAAAATACAGACATAAAAGGATTACCAGGAGGATTCCTCCACCACCCTTTCGCATCTTTCCTGTGGAGTTTTCCAATGAAAGGCGCCTGTTGTGGAGTCACTTTGTAGGCAGAGTAGAAGGGGATGTTCCTCTCCGGATCAAACAGCGAGACGAAGTAAGGCGGAGTTCCTTGAGGTTCCTCAGGAAGTAATTGCTGAATTTCCTGTCCCCGATGAGTATTAGGGAGACCCTCTGGACGTTTGTTCCTAACGAAATATGGTGCTGACCGTGGCGACCAAGTCTTTCTTTGCCTGATGGGCCCAGCGTCTCCCTCAGTTTCTCAAAGGAAAAGAAAGGTTAACCGATGTTGTGGCAATAAAAGCACCGGGAGGAAAATTTCAATCAGTGTTTTAAACGTAGATTGTCCATAATTATGTATCAAGAAATAGCCCATTGTTCCGGGTCAACTTTCCATTAAGCGTCAAACAAAAGTCCTGAGTAATTGGTTGTCCTGAGGGACTTTGGCCGAAGGGAGGCGGAAAAGCTCGTAACTGATCGAGAAAATTATCGGAGTGACAATTTTGCTGCACTGGGGGAGTGGGTAGTGTAAATATGCACTAGTAAAATCAATCTCCATCGGTGTACCCAAGGGTAGACTTGACCCTCGTTTAGCGCATCGAGCCAAAGGTTCTCAAATTAAAAAATAATTAAATTTATCCCTATTGCAGTGACTCATTTTAACCAACTCTCTCTATATGTAAGTCAAGTCGCCTGGTAAAAAGTCAACGTACAAATATATTTTTTGGTCTTACTACTGGTGTTAAATACAATCGAAAGTGACGGTTTTCTGTGGAGAGCCTCGAGGCGATTAAAGACCTTCTTTCTGGCGCACAGCTGTTTTCGAACGAGGCGCTCATCATGTTTAGAACCAACACCTAACCTAGGTTGTTTACCTAACACGAGGATCCTTCTTTGCAAAAGCGCCGAATTCGTGTAAGTATGTTCATGAAGTTCTCATGAAGGCTAAAGTAACCAAATATGCAATCTCCCGGGCCTATTCCCCTCCTTCTGAGTCATATTCTACAGATCTCATTAGTTTCAGTATCAGAAAACACTGTACAATGGCCCTATAATAATCTATGTTAATGAGTAATTATCCTATTGAAAAATCCTATCGAAAAATCAACTGCTGCTGGCTAAGAAACCAGGACATTTATGACAGTCGCGAGACACAAGCAACATTATCATTCTTTGGAGACCATGTGTAACTTGAGCCTTAAAATCAACATGACTCCAGTGAGATATCATTTCATAAAAATCATATCAGGACTCTATTAGGCTTCTTAGTAAGATTTTGATAAAAAATTTTACCTCTACAGGTTTCCCTCTCTAGTAAAACGAGGAAATAGAATCTATACACATTTATGATCTTAAACTTATAAAATATTTTTAGCTTTTGCTTTACATACCGAGATGAGAGGCTTTACTGGAAAATGCACCCACTAGTAGCCCAAAGATGATTGAAAAGGACGCAATATCTTTAACTGCCAGCATTACCACAGGTTCAAGAGGAACTTTCCTTTAATTGCTGTAAAACACAACAAACGTAACGTACGTAAAGACACATATCATTTGTAAGTCCACGAACGGTAAAAATTATTCACCTCGCTGAGGGTATTTAGATCTTCTTATATATACAATCTTCAAGGTAAATTTTGCACTGTCAAATGTGTCAAGCCACAGCCTTTTTCATCAGATAGTGCCCTTGTAATTCATTTCAAGTAACTCACACTTTATGAGTAAGAAAAACACTTCACTTCATTCTTCTAAACAACCATTATGAAAAAAGCTCATTAGGAAAGTGGCGAATACTCGCTGACCATGAAAGAAGGAAAACTTACCTCAGAGAGTACTAGAATCACGAATTCCACTTGGTTCTTCAATACGCAACCGATTATAACCCGTATAATGTACCCGCAGCAATTTACCTGCTTATATACAACTTCGATTTACTCAGAACCAAATTTAGATAACAAAGAATTGAAACAAAAATCGTCATGTCATGTTTCAATTTTAAAATGTCTTGACCTAATTCGTGACGAGGTTACAGTATATCGCTCTTTTTAGCGCCATTTTGACACACGGATTCATGTTAATTCAAAAGTCATGAATTAATTTTGTAACTTGGCTTTTTCATTCTTGTAAGGTAAAGAAATTCCTAATAAGGGCTCACCCGACCGCAATCGACAGCATGTATTTAATTTTTATACCGAACTCGACGCTTTTCCCTCTTTAAATTTGGTCAAACTGTATTTGATCCAAAATGGTCGTGTAGATATAATTAAACCGAGTACTTGAGAACACACGCAGTATAATCTGAGTTTACAACCTTTTGGATTAGAAAATGAAATCTTCACGTCACGCATTCATTTATTGTTTGTAATGTCACCCTTGCAGATATTGTAATGATAAAAAAAAACTTTTTCAAAACGAATAAGCCGCCAAATATAGCTAATTTTCTGAAGCTGAATTGGAAACCGAAATTTGAACCTCATCCCTGCGGGATGCATCTGTTGGTTATAAGGCTATTTTCCTGATTATTAAGTCAAAGCACGCATTTATTTTACAAAAATTATGAAATTATTTTCTTATTGGGTTATTTTACCCTTGCAAACCAAAATATTCCTTACATGCACAACCAGCTTTGAAATTCCAGTCAGAAACATAAATCTACTGGCAACACGAACACTCTTCCATCCTTGATTGAGCCGGCGACTGAATTCTGCGGTTTAATGGGTATGTCGCAATGTTCAATACAAAGAGGCCGGCAACAAAGAGAGAACAAATCATGCACTCCAGGCTAAAATATTCATCCAATATTGAAAAGGAGATAGAAAAATTTTGAACGAACGACTGCGAACGACAATTTTTACTCGCAGATCTTTCCTATGTGAGACTTAAATTGTCTTCACTTCCTCTCTATGAGGATCAGTATTGATTTTATTTTTCGTTGATTAGCTTTAGGAATTTTTAGCTTTTTTCCCGTACTGCATAACAATTAGGGAAGTGGTTTGGTCATCATGCGACACGATCGAGGCAAGAGCTAAGGTAACTGTATTGTGAACATATTTCACATAAAAAGGCTGCTTTACTTTTCGTCGATCAGGAATTATTCCGTTTCGTTTGAGTTGCCCCGAAGAACTGGAGAGGATTTTGACAAATTGTACAAGGTACAACATGTAAGTTGCCTCTTCATTTTTGTATTACCTTTCGATTCCATTTTATTTGTTTATCTTCTTCCTTTCCTTCGTAACTTTTTTTTGCTTGTACGGCTTGTTTTTGCTCACGGAGTAGGAAAGTTGCTTTGATAAAAATGTTCCCACGCGAAAACGATCGCGGACAATCGCAAAATGAAGTGATATTGATAGATGCTACCTCACGCCTCGATATGATCAGGTTTTTGTACTCGTAACTGCCGCTATTAATATTTGGAAGCTTACTAAAGACTCTTTTTCCTTAAAGTGTGACAAGCACCTCCAAAAAAAATCTACGTTAAGCTATTCAGAGATCAATTAAGCCATAACTTAATTCTAATATTGCCTTTTTCTTGTAATCGATGTGTATGTAGAGTCACTGATCATTATATTCTGCAAGGTCTGGTAACTTTGCCTGTTTTCCTCTTGATATTTAAAACAACGAGAGCAATACAAACATGAAGACACCCACAGTGTTGGTGTCTTATTTAGTGGCTATGTGCGTGGTGGAATGCTTTGTTGCAGATAAAAAGAATTCCTCAATCCCCCTAACACTGATTGACTTGTAACTTGTCTCAACAATATATAAAGAAATTATCTATAAAGCAGGTGACGAAAATAGCCAAATTGTTCTTTAAAAGACCAAAGTAATAGACCGGCCGGCGAAAGAAAGCACCGGAAAGAGCTAAGGATGACCAACGAGATATAAAAGAGTTAATAGTATCCATATTGTCCAAAATACAAATAAAACTAGTAACACAGCTCGGCAAATTGACCCTCTAGAGTGTTCGTCAATTTCTATTTGTTCCTTAAATAACCTACAAACTAACTGCTCAGGGTCAGGCTAACGAGATGCATCGATTTGCTCATAAAACTTGGAACTTATAGTCTAATAGTTACATAGTTTATCCAAAAAATCCTTAAAACTTCTGCACTTTTGTATACCTATACAACCATTGAAATCTGTTCACTCAGCATAGTTTATTACCTTCCAAATAGACTGAGAATGCAGTTCAGCTGCAAGCATGCAATTATATTTAATAAAAAATTCATTTCAATTTGTACTTGACTGACGTAGGCAGTGCAGACCTATTGTTTAATTCGTAGGTCCATTTCTTTATATACTTTTATTGCAGAAATGGTCTTGCTGTTCTGTTTTTTTAATGAAGCTCCTGTCACACCCGAGATGTGCTACTTGGTAATTAGAAAATTGCGTTTTCCATATCAGCACAACTGGCGACTCACCACAACTTTGAGGGATTCTCGTTTAGGTACATCCTGGTGTTAATGTTAAGTTCAGTGTAATCGTTAGTGGTTTAACCCACTCGTGTTTAACTGTTATTTTAGTGAAGTATTTTGTTAAGTGTTCAACAATTTGTTAATTGAGAGTAAATCGAAAATGAACCTTTATGGTTATGGTTTGTGAAAAAAAGCACGAAGAATCCAAAAGAAACGAGAACGCTTAGGGATGGTGAAGATTTACTCGGCCTTGCAGATGACAAAATTAAATCTCAAATTGTAGCAAGCGGGATATATCTCTAAAAAACGTTTCTATATTTTCTATGTGCAGGTATTTACAGTGGCCATTTCAGATGGCTTTAAGGAATGATTTTAAAGGAGTCTTTTCAGCAGTTAATGCTGTTATAACCCTAATAAAGACTGGTTGTTGAAGTAAACTGACCTTTTCAACGATTCTAAATCTATATCGTAAAATAGGTTGTTGTTCATCGTGGCGGTAAGTGGTAATAAACTGTTTAATAGTTTGTCTCAAGACATAGTCACTTGTGATGTAGATCGCGACGTTTCGACTGCTTACTGCTAGTCTTCATCAGGAGATGGGAACAACTGCTCGGATCTCGATCCCCCAGTACTCAGGGGAAAAATGGAGATCGAAATCGGCCAGTCGCATTAGATCGCCGTGATACAAATGGTAACGCGTGAGCAGTTGACCGAATCGCCTGATGCCTAATCGCCTTATATCTCAAGTGACTACATCGTGAGACGAACTATTAAACAGTTTATTAATTCTATACTAGTTTTATGAGGAAATATGCTCCAAACACGATCTGAGTTCTATCTCCGCCATTTAAAAGGACTGGCTAATTTATGACGCTCTGGCAATTTGACATTCCAAAGAGTAGCCAACCCTTCGAAAGCGTCTTCATGCAACAGCCATTTTGAGTTTTGCTTTGCAATCCGGTTGCCCACCAGTGAAGTAAGAAAATTCCTGATAACCTTTTCCCCATTACTTAGAGATGTCTTGACAATTATTTATTGCATAAATTGTATCTTGTGAACGTGTGGTTGGGAATCATTCAGCGCCATGGAGAGGGCCAAATTGGTAACATTTTGTATTTGCGAACGGAACTTTGAAAAGTATCTGATGGGTCTCTTGACTGATACGAAACACCGCGTTAGATTAGCCACGAAATATGCTTTCACAAGAATTTGACAAATTTTTACTGCATAAAAGAGGCACCAGCACAGGCTTGGATTTTCAGTATTTAATGGAAACAGTAGAATTACAGCAATCTGAAGCTGTGAGAACAGAAAATTACAATTCGGTATTTTTAAAACACAAATTTGATTGGAAATAAAACGAAAATGTAGTAAAGTAGTCGACTTACATTTGTACAAGCGTGCCATCGTTAACATTCGTAAGACAGACATAAAGCTTAAAAATCCTTCGTACATTCAGCAAACACACTTCTCACATTTTCTTTTGGCAAAACTGAAAACTCATATTCTAGCACTAGGTCTGGCGTAATCGGGGTTAACATTTCAAATGTTTCTTGTTAATCATTGAAACGTTTTACAGTCACCGGAACAATTAAGAGCAAGTTAACAATTGGTTCATACGTCAGCGTGCGTTCATCGAGATATGAAGTACGCGGGAAGTTTGGAGAGCACGAAAGATACGTAAGAGTTGCTCGAGGCGTAGCCGAGAGTAATTCTAGCTTCTTGAGTGCTCTCCAAACTTCCCAAGTGCTTCATATATTGATGAACGCACAGCTGACGTATGAACCAATTATTTTATAACATTTTCAACCAGATGGAAAATTTTTTCCTCTAGGGATTTGTTTGCTGACGTCATGAGCGTGCACAATAGGAATATGAAGCACGCTCGCGCAATAGAATTTGAGTAGAAAAATTTACTAGCTGTATTATAATTGCCTTTGAATCTCAATTATTACCAGTGCTCTCTCTCTAAACGTACCCACCTGTACTAAAACTGGATTTCCATTGTCGAGCTTTTGTCCACGTACGTGATCGTGCGTTAAAAAAGAAAACTACGCACGTTGAAATGAATGTTTACGTGAGTTATCTCATCCGTTCACTAAGCGTTGCCATATTCCCACTTCCGCGTAATATTTAAGAAGTGTACGTGCTTTTAGCGCACGTCGCAATTGCAGTCATCCTCCACGTATGGGCCTGCGTTTTCTCGCACGTAACAACAAAACGCGTAGTATTGGTTTTCTCGAGGCAATGGTAATCGCTTACGCACATTTCTTTTGACACGTTTTACGTACGGAAAATCTTACGTAACACTGGAAATTGAAAGCACGTGTAGTTCAACAGAACAATAAACTACGACAGTATTGTAAAACTGGGTGAATCAGCAAAATAGCAAGAATTTCACCTCACCACAAAACTCTGTTCTCAATAATTCGAAAGCTATTTTGAGCTCGATGTAAATAGAGAAACTAGTACGTGCCGGTCCTTAAAAATTTGTTTCTTTGTAAAAAGAAGTTGAAGTCAACATAAGCAGTAGATATTGCTTAATAAAAAAAAACAGGAAAACAAAAACCGTGGGCAAAAAATAAAAGTGACATGTTCGTGAGCTTGTCATCATGACAACACCGCTAACTTCACATTTTAATATGTGAATAGTTGGGATCTAGGTCAGTATCTGAGCAACTGCACATCTACCCCTTCCCTAACCCTACAACATGGTCAACCGATAAGAGGGTAGGGTTAGGGGAAAGGTTGGTTGTAGTTGTTCAGATACGGACATTGATCCAATAGTTCAATCCTCGGGCGCTTGGAGGATATCTTTTAATCTCTCCTTTTTTCGAAACGATAAGATTTCTGGTGTTCATCAACACCATAGGATCGAAAATCTACTAAACTCCTAAGCACAAGTCTGAATTCATTGGTGTCCTGACCTACGGGAAGACAATTTTTTACATCGGCAAAGAGGATTGCTGTTGGTTACATATCAGGTTGGACCTTTTTCAGTTATCTGTATTGAGATATGTTGAATAAATACACCCTGAGATTTACTAAATTCTTCATTTACGTCAGCGTCAAGGTTTTCATTAAAAAAAATATTGTCTAATGGCCCTTCATAGTTACTTAACTGTGAAAGTGATTCAGATGTATAAATTTGATTCTTATGCCTCGCCTCGAGCGCTTTTTAAAAATAAGAAACTGTATTTTTCGCTTGAATCACGTAGATCGGCTTGAGGCTTCCTTGTTCGACCATGAGCTACTAATTCTCGTCCGAGCTACTTGGAAGAATTCGAAGAGCCTGCAGAATCTTGTATCAAGGTGTGCATAGTAAGTTGCTTCATTCATCCAAAATTTTTTTGTCAGTCAGGCTTGATATTGAAAGTTAAAGCTTTGTTTTGAAGGGCGCAAAGTTTGGCCAAATTGATATTTAAAAAAAAAAAAGAAGACTTTTGTTAAAACTGGCCCCTAATTTAGAACAAGTTTATCTTCCATTCCTGACATCAATTATATCGTTTGACTGCATTGTTTCACACGATACTTTTTGGCACCTTGGTACATCTGTTTAAACGATGTGTTTGTCAGTGACGTCACTCAAACCCCATCCCCCGCCCCCCTGTATGGTCGTATTATTTATTCCTGTTTTCTATTTGGTTTTCAAACAGCCGAAGCAAGATAAACATGAAGATGCCTTCAGTTTTATTGTTCTGTATCGTGGCTATGAGTGCTCTGGAATACTTTGTAACAGGTAATGA